AACGAAAACAGTCCAGCTTCCACTGACGCCTTCGCGCTTTTGGAAAACTCCTTGGCGTGCTGCTGCTGTTCCTCTTTTAAGGAAAACTCTGGTCGCTGGTTTCTACGTAGCCATCTCTGCTGAGAACAAATTTCCAATGGAGTCAGTGGCATGCGTCCTACTGCAAAAGCCGTATAAACGAGCAAAAGAATTATATATCACAGGGCTCGGCCCATCTCAGCTGGCAGAGCTTTGATACTGATCAGCTTAGAATGCCCCCGTTTTCTTTCCAGTGTTTTTTTTTAATTTTATTCAAATACAAATAATACAAACATAACACATATAAATCTAAATAAAAAAACAGTATAAAAATGCAAATACTACAGTGCACCCACACCGCTGGAGGCCATTTTTATTACCTATATTTCTTATATAACAACAATATACAATATATTTCAATTGTGCCTTTATCCCCTCCAAAACAGCATGTATTCTTGAGTATGTGTCGTATTGAAAAAGCCGTGCAAAAGAATTATATATCACACAGGGCTCGGCCCATCTCGGCTGGCTTGACCGCCGTCAGAGCTTTGATACTGATCGGCTTAGATTAGAATGCCCCTGTTTTCCTTTCCAGTGGTTTTTGTTTTTTTTCTCGACAGGGCTGCCGAGGCAGGCAAATTTCAAATTTCCAGACAAGGAAGACGTTCACGCTCCCTTTCACTGGCTTGGCCGATTCTTTCAATTAGGACAGAATCCTTCGTTAAGGGTCCGTTTCTGGAAAGGAGTTTCCAAGTAGGGAGCTATACCACACTTTGCCCAGCAGATGGCACTATGGTTCCATTCATTGCTCCCGCAGAACCCAGTCCTCAAACCAAACCGCGACGTCGCCTTTGTTTTACTGCATCTCGGGGAATTGCCCACAAGCAGTAATTACAGGAAATGCGCGGCTTCGCAACCGGGTGGCTATTTTTAGCTTGGGGGGAGGGGGGGAAAAGAGGGCCGTGAGGTGTTGCACACAAAACTCGGGACTTCTCGAGATAAATTCGACCTCGACCGGATTTCAAACCCTAACAACTGTGGTTTTAAGAATCGAACAATGGAAGGAAAGATGGAGAGAATTGGCGCGGGGGGAGGGGGTGGGGATGTTCCCGTAGCTCTTCCATTTGCTCTTCCGGCTGGCGCCCCCGTTGCATTTTATGCCAGGAATAGTCGTGGGGGGGGGATATCGTGGGGGGGGGGTTAAGGCAGCCAAGGCAACTGGTGGAGCGGCCTTCCCTTTCTTTCCGCAGCTTCAGCTTCAGTCCAGGCCGGAGAAGAGCTGAGCAGCCGCCTTGCTCCTTTGGCTCTTCCCGCTTTCGTTCCTTTTCTCCGGAAAGAGAAGGGCGGCTGCGGGAGACGTTGGGCTGCGGTTTGACGCGCTGCCGGTTCAAAGTCCCTTTCGACCACGGAATCGTTCTTCTTCTTCTTCTTCTTCTTCTTCTTCTTCTTCTTCTTCTTCTTCTTCTTCTTCTTCTTCTTCTTCTTCTTCTTCTTCTTCTTCTTCTTCTTCTTCTTCTTCTTCTTCTTCTTCTTCTTCTTCTTCTTCTTCTTCGTCTTCTTCTTCTTCTTCTTCTTCTTCTTCTTCTTCTTCTTCTTCTTCTTCTTATTCTTCTTCTTCTTCTTCTTCTTCTTCTTCTTCTTCTTCTTCTTCTTCTTCTTCTTCTTCTTCTTCTTCTTCTTCTTCTTCTCCTTCTCCTCCTCCTCCTCCTCCTCCTCCTCCTCCTCCTCCTCGTCTCTTGGGAACCTTTGCAAGTACAGTATCTTAAATAACTTCTGTTATTTCTCAGTGAACTGAGAAATATGTTATGTTCACAGTTTCAGTGAATCTTTGGGCCAAGTGCGCCCCTCCCTTCTCTGCAGGAGTAAAAAAAAAAAAAAGAGAGATCAGGGGAGTATTCCGCAAAATGAAAGTAAGAGTCGGGGGAGCTTCGTTCTACATAGCTGTGGTCAGAGTTAACCAAAGCGTTGAGGAGAGACGGGGGGGGGGGGGGAGAGAGAGAGAGAGAGAGAGAGAGAAGGAGGGAGGAAGAGAAAAAGAGAAGGATGGAGGGAGGGAGGGAAGGATATATATATATATTATTCTGTGTTTAGAAGACAAATTAGAAAGCTGTTGTCAAAAGCCATAGCTTTGGACTGTGTAAAAAAGATCATAATATATTTCAGAAGGCTGAGAAGGGTAGCTAGCGTGGAGAAACAAAACCATAATTGTGCTGCTTCTTACTTTCCCCAATATTTATCCAGACATTAATTCTTACCGCTGGTATGGAGTTGATCCAACCAAAATAAGCCTTGAAAGAAAGCTCCTAATGAAACTCAGCTGAATCCCTGAAATACATTATTTTATTTTCTGCGATCGTAATATTTATTATATGCGTTAATAGGAATATAACAAGAGGGATAATAAAACGCGCTATATTATAATCATCCTTTATTTGTTCTTTCCTCCTCTGTTATGTTTTTAATCAATGTGTTAAATTCAGTTCTCTTTGTGCTTATTTGTACAGCTACCATCGCGGTTCTTGTTTTTATTCTTCAGGCTTTCCTATGGCCCCTGGAGGCTTTTCGGGAACCTAACCTTTTAATGTGTGTATTTTTACACTGAAGGAGAAACATTTCAATCTAGGGAAGAAGCAGAGTTGAAGAAAGGATGAACAGCAAATCCAGGATCCATTAGGACAGATCGTTCATCTACTTTCTAAAGAGGACGGTTGGGAAGACCAAAGGAGAGAATATTGGCCAGATTCTCACACTCCCAAACTAGGAGAGACTCCTAGAATATGCTGGAATCGTCATTGTGAGCCCACCAAGCTAGGAACAAGGAGTTGAAATCCATGGCTGGAGTCAGTTTAATGTTTATTTAAAGGAAAGTTGAAAACAGAATCTCTTTAGCGCTCATTTCTTTCAATTGGCTTTAAAGAGTTGGAGGAATTGCCACCTCCCAGCTTTATCCATGTATGAGTTTTGAGCGTCCGGGCAGAGATCATTTTTATTTCTCTTTATCCTGTTTTTATTATTTTTATAGATAACTCAGGGTGACTAATTCTAATACCCAATACTCTTTCCTCCTCCCAGTTTACACACGATGCCTCCTGTGAAGAGGGTTGGACTGAGAGGGACAGTAGTTTTGATGTATTTATTGTTAAATTTATATACCGCCCATCTTGTTCAGAGTGACTAATACTAAAAGATGCGCCTGTCTTCTCGGAAGCAGAAGTGGGACTCCACTGAATACACTTTATTTTTACTCTGAGTAAAATGTGTGAAAGCTCTAGAGCCCTAGCACCTTCTTTGAACCGGTGGAAAATAGTTTTTAGTTACCACCCTAACTTTGTATGTTGCTTCCCCCCTCCACTCCCCCAAACTTTAAGTCTAAGGGAAAACTTGTTAAGAAGTTACTATGTTGCCAGAGCGGTGAAAAGAAAAGGAAGGAAACCAGCAATTAAATCAGTTTCCTTGTTTGAAAAAGCACAGCAATATTTGCATGAAAAGAGTGATTAGGACAAAGCCCTATTTTTTAAGCGTATATTTCAGTAGTAGAGTCCATACTTGCTGCATCCAGAGTTCACTTGTGCCTCTGTTCTGGTAGGTGAGGACCGGCTGGAGCCCAGAGGGCCAGGTTTTGTCTGCCCTGAGTGTTTTCTTCCCTAGCAGGGTCAGGACAGTGAGTTCATCTTGAGGGCATCAGGTCCTGAGCCTTGCTAGCTCATTGGCATAGCAGCAACAAGATTTTCACTAGGCATCTGTCAATAGGTCAATGCCCTCCTCTGAACTTGGCTAATGAGATCGGTGGCATATAAATTTAATAAATAAATAAACAACAACATAGAACGAGGACTCTCAGGCTTTTCCATTCCTTCCAGGAAAATGGACCGCCACTGCCAGGCCAGAGAGTATGCTATGCCCCTCCAATTAAGGACTTAAGAAGCTTCAAGCTGAGTTTAGTTAGTTAAGTACAGAGAAGAGTACAGAGAAGAGCAACAAAGATGGTTAGGGAACTGGAGGCTAAAACATGAGGAATGGTTGCTGGAATTGGGTACGTCTAGTTTAGTTTAATGAAGAGAAGGACGAGGGGGGACATGATAGCAGTGTTCCAATATCTCAGGGGCTGCCACAAAGAAGAGGGAGTCAAGCCATTCTCCAAAGCGCCTGAGGGCAGGACAAGAAGCAAAGGATGGAAACTAATCAAGGAGAGAAGCAACCTGGAACTAAGGAGAAACTTCCTGACAGTTAGAACAATTAAGCAATGGAGCAACCTGCCTCCAGAAGCGGTGAATGCTCCAACACTGGAAGTTTTTAAGAAGAGTCTGGACAGCCATCTGTCTGAAATGGTGTAGGGTTTCCTGCCTGAGCAGCAGGTTGGACTCGATGACCTCCAAGGTCCGTCCCAACTTTTTATTATTATGGATCATCGCACAGTCAGCCAGATGTTCAGACTGGATTTGGCATTTTGTCTACCTATCGAGTCCGATGGAAGCAGTTCCTAGTAAGGTCGCCTTTTGCAATTGACTAATAGCGAATTTGTCAATGCCAATGGTGTTCAAGTGGTGCTCCGGTTGTTTTGGGATTTCACCCAAGGAGGCTATTACTATTGGTACTACCCTTGCTTGCTTTTGCCACAGTCTTTTATTTCTATTTGTAGGTCTTTGTATTTTGTTATCTTCTCTAGTTCTTTCTCATCTATTCTGCTGTCTCCAGGCACTGCCACGTCCATTATTATTATTATTATTATTGTTATTATTATTATTATTATTATTATTATTATAGGTTGTGTGCATGCAATTGCTGGGCAAGATGCTCTCCTTTGAAGAAGGGCAGCTCCTTGTTCGGATGTCTTGAATCTGGAGCTAAGGACTTCCCTTTCCATCTGGAACAAGCTGTCACCATCTCCTAATGCAATAAAGAGCACCCTCAGAGAAGATATGCAAGCGAAATAAAACACCAGCTCTTAGGACCACTTAATCAAGTCTCTTCTTGTAGCTGTTTAGCATTTATTGCTTCTTTCGCTAACACCCGTTTCACTTAGTAACAAAAGCTATCAGTGGCGTTCAACCTTTTGGACAATTTTTTTTCCAGTGCCCAGAAGGGTGAATGAAGGCAACTGTGATTGTGATGAAGATAACAGGGCATACAATATTTATATTAAAATACACATTGATTTATACACATCTTTATATAGCTAAACATATAGGCACAATTGGCTTTAAACCTTTGATATTCCATGCCACTGGTTTAGAATGAATCTCAGTGGGACCAGGGCTGGAGAAGGTTGTTGTCAGGGCCAAGATCCCATTGACGTAGGCTCCATTACAGACATGAGATTGGTCGCAAATGGGGGTAAGGGGCTCCACTGATTTAAGCCATGGCATCTCAGTCAGAGAAACAGGACCACAGTTGTTCTATCCTGATCATTATTAAATTGGGAGGGTGGACCAGAGGAAAGAATACAGGCACAGCCATCTAAGTACATATGTTTGTGTGCTCACACACCTCTCTCACACAATCCTACAAACACACTTTATCACCTGAATGTTCTTAGCCTGATAGCCACTGAAAAGCGTGCGACTTAAGACTCTCTACCTACACTGCCCTTTGGGATGAGGTGTGTGTGTGTGTGTGTGTGTGTGTGTGTGTGTGTTTTTGAGGGAGACAAGAAAAACAAAAGAAAAAAAAAGCCTAAAAAAAGTATAGCGATGGAGAAAAACTAAGGAATTAAACCAGAGCATTAAAAACTTGCAGCGTTCCATTAAATCCAGAAATTGCAAAGAGGTTATCAAAAGCGCTTCCCCAAAATCTGCCCCTTAGCACAAGGAGATATTAAATATATTTCAAGTCTTTCCAAGAGTCGTTTACGCTCGCTCCCAAACTTCCCTGTAGCCTCAGATCAAGTAACGGTGTCCTTCAGTTTGGAGACGATTTTCTTGTCTTTGACTCGGCGGTTCTGGAACCAGATGGTGACCTGCCTTTCAGAGAGGTTGGTGGCTGCTGAAATCCGCCTCCGCTTGTCCTTGTTAATGAATTTATTCAGGGCGTATTCGCTCTCCAGCTCCTTCAGCTGCAGCTTCGTGTAAGGCACCCGCTTCTTCCGCCCACGCCGGTACACGCACAGGTCTGGCTGGTTTAGTGCAACTTCCCCTGTCGGAGAAGAAGGGCAACAAGTGAGCAACCAGGAAAGGGGACGTTTTCCCCTGTGGTAGCCGAGAACCCAGAGTGCCACAAAGGGAATTAGTTCCAGCGCTTTGGCCCTCTCCTCTCCTTCCCCCTTGGAGGTCTCCGGGCAGATGTTCCAGGCAAGCGGCAAGCGTGCCAGCAAGGAATAGCTGCCTGGCATATGTTACAGCATGTTCTGGGATAATTTCTGTGCAGCCCCCAGGAATAAAACTGCAGGTTCCTGAAGGCTGTCGACCCAGTTTTATTAAGAATGGCTGATCTTTCTCTCTCCCCCCCCCCTCCATACTTTCACACCTGTTTTGATTGGGAAAGAATAGCTGCAGAGACTGGGAGCATCCTCGCCCCCTCTCCCTCTCCACCCCAAGAATAAATCCAGGAGAATAAGCTTAGGGTAACCTAAAAGTGTTTTTTTTTTTTCAAAAGACAACTGGACTCCCCCCCCCCTCTTCTTGAAGATTTTTCGTTTCTCATCCACGAAGTTTCTACAGTTCTTTAGGCTTCTTGGATGAGAAGCGAAATGTCAAGGAAAAACAAAGTCAAGGTGCCTTTTGGAAAAAAAAAAAACACTTTTGGGACAACCTGGAAGACACAGAATCTCCATAGAAGCTTAGGGTAACTTCAGTGAACACCAGTGCAGGATCAGGCCACAGTGCTCTAGTCCTGTTCCAGACCTAAGTTTAAATAACTACCCGAACTAGAGTGGGTCTGGCTCTGGGGGAGAAGCATTCAGTTCCTTCTTAGTTATTTATCCCCTCCTGCGATTATTTTATTTCGCTGTAATTTAGGAACACTCTAACACCACAATCGTTAGGGGGGAAACGAACCAAGGACTATAGGGGACCAGGCTGGCATCTGTTTTAGGCCTGGATGAACATTTCCACCAGCTCGAGAGAGCAGAGAGAGTCTTTGCAGATTTTGGGCAGGCAGCCATTGCTTCTTGGGCCTTCTGCCCTAAGCGCAATGGAGAACACTTTAGCACCTAGTTTTGAAGTCCTTCAGGAGAGGCGAATAGTGAAAGCAACACAATCCGAAGCTGGCTGATGTGTGAACCAACCAACCTTCCTTCCTTCCTTCCTTCCTTCCTTCCTTCCTTCCTTCCTTCCTTCCTTCCTTCCTTCCTTCCTTCCTTCCATCCATCCATCCATCCATCCATCCTTTCCTTCCATCCATCCCTTCCTTCCTTCCTTCTCTCCCAAACGTGCAAGACAGCCTTCTCTCCTCCGGAGCCCTTCAGAGCTCAGACTACCATTCCCATCATCCCTGGACATTAATAGGCTTGGTCGTCCCTAGGATCAGGAGGCCACCAGACAAAGGAAGGCCCAGCAAAGGTCAAGGGCTCCTCAAACCGCGGCCCTGCCTCGACTTTTCCCGGGAACCCCAAGGCTTCTGCCCGGCTGCCGGGGCGCGCCTACCTGGGAAGGAAGACTTCCAGAAGTGGGAGCTCGGGGCCTGGTCCTTGGGGCAGTACACCTGTCCGTTCCAGCCGTTGGCCAAAGTCCAAGACTGGTAGCCCTCCATGGAGATGTAGGTCTCGTGCCTGGGTTCCCCCGGAGGTGCCGCCGGTCCGAAACTAGAGACCACGTCCAGGTAGCCGGGGGGCACGTGCTGGTAAGGGCCGGCGGCGGCCGCGTAGCTCTGGTAGAAGGAGACCTCCTTGGCCCGCGAGGAAGCGTCGCCGCCGCCCGAGGTCGCGGGGCCGCCCCCCAAGCCGGCCACGTCCATGTACTTCTCCGCCGGGAAGGCGCCGTGCGGGGCCGCCTTCAGGGCCGCGTTCTGCTGGAGCCCCACGCCGTGCGCCATGCGGCAGCTGTAGTAGCCGTGGCCGAAGGGCGGGTAGCCCGGAGGGTAGCCCAGGGCGGCGGCGGCGGCAGCGGCCGTCGTGGCCGAGGACGGTGCCGCAATCGGAGGTCCGGCGGCGCAGTCCTTCGACGAGGACGCCGCCTCGGAGGAGGAAGATGCGGAGCGCGCCGCGGTCCCCGGGCCGGAGCGCTCGTAGAGGAAACCCGGCCGCGTCGAAGCCGGCGGCGGCGACGACCCGAAGACGGGAGGGGAGAGAAAGCTTCGGCTCTGCGAGCAGCCCCCGCCGCCCGCCCCGGGCTCTCCGCGCAGCGCTTCCATCTCCCCGAGCGCCAGCCGCTCGGCTCAGGCTTCCCGCGCGAAGCAGCCCCGCTCCAGCTGCCTCCGTCGCCGCTGCCGCTGCCGCTGCCGGTCCTCTTCCTCCCCGGCTTGGCCCTCCGGGGAAGGCCTGCGGGCGCTCATGGCGGGCGGGTGGGACGGGACGCGGAGCGACGGAGCGGCAGAGCGGCGGCCTCCCTCTCCGAGCGCCCGGGATGGTTTATAAAAACCAAGGCCACGCTGGGAGGGGGGGAGCGTCGCACCCGGCCGTCCAAGGAGCTCGTCCGGGGCCTCATTGGTCAGGCGGCGCACGTGTCCCTCTCTGCGGGGCGAAGGAGGGGGGAGCTGAGCCGGCGATCCCAGGTCTCCGCTCCCCTCCCTCTCCCAACTTGGTTTGGGACTTCGCTTGAGTTCTCTCGAGGCGAGGCAAGGCAAGGCAAGGCAAGGCAAGGCAAGGCAAGGCAAGGGCAACTTGGAAAGGGGAAAGGAAAGGAAAAAGGAAAGGAAAGGAAAGGAAAGGGGAAAAGAAAGGAAAGGGGAACTTGGAAAGGGAAAAGAAAGGAAAGGGGAACTTGGAAAGGGGAAAGGAAAGGAAAAAGGAAAGGAAAGGGGAAAGGAAAGGAAAGGGGAAAAGAAAGGAAAGGAAAAAGGAAAGGAAAGGGGAAAATAAAGGAAAGGGAAAGGGAAAAGAAAGGAAAGAAAAAGGGGAAAAGAAAGGAAAAGGGAAAGGAAAGGGGGAAAGGAAAGGGGAAAAGAAAAGAAAGGAAAGGAAAAAAGAAAGGAAAGGAGAAAAGAAAGGAAAAGGGAAAGGAAAGGGGAAAGGAAAGGGGAACTTGGAAAGGGGAAAGGAAAGGGAAAGGAAAGGGGAAAAGAAAAGAAAGAAAAGGAAAAGGGAAAGGAAAGGGGAAAGCAGAACTTGGAAAGGGGAAAGGAAAGGAAAAAGGAAAGAGGAAAGGAAAGGGGAAAAGAAAGGAAAAAGGGAAGGGAAGGAAAGGCAATGGGGGGAAGGGATGGGGAGAAAACAGGAGGTAATAAAAACGGAAATACAAAGATGCATCCCTACACGTAGACATATTTACATATGTTCGTGGGCGCCCTCTCTCTCTCTCTCTCTCACAGAGAGAGAGAGAGAGAGAGAGAGAGAGAGAGAGAGAGAGCGCCTGCCAGCCTGGTCTCGCTTTTTCACAAAGACCTGGGAGCGACATAGGTTTCCAATAGTCCCATCAATTCAAGAGGAAGGAGCGGGCCCAGAATCAACAGGCCTCCGTTTTGAGGCCCTGGCTCTCGGGCGGCCGCTCCTTCGCCTTCCCCCGGTCCCCCTCCGCTGAGATTAACCTTTGGCCTTGGGCGGGGGCGGGAGCAGGAGGTCTCCAGCATTGGGCTGAAGTGAGCAGAACGTTTTACTTGATTCATGTGATCCCATGTGAGATAAAAATAATAAAAAAAAACTGTTAAGAAACTGGGCGTAGTAGGGCAGGAGGCGGGAAATGCCCTTTTCCGTTCTGAGCGTCCTTTGGCCATGGAATTACCGTTCGCTCCAGGGAGTTGTTTCGGTTACTCTCGGAGCCTTCTGCTCTCTGCTCCCCGAACCCAAACCAGTCCCCGGGCAACCTGCAGAATTACTCTTCTCCTCCAAGTGCGGCGGCTGCGGCAATTCTTTCTGAGTTGTCCTTTCTCCCACTCCACGCGTCTGCGTGCCCGGCTCACGCTCAAAGTACTTCGTTTATTTTATTTTATTTTTCTCGTCGTCGGGTCGGTTTACGGTTTGATTTATTCGACTTGGCAGCCGCAATAAGGAGGAAGACCCTGAATAGGCGCGTGCGGGGCGGGGGGGGGGGGTGGGGAAAAAAAGTGATCTGTGAATGTCTGCAATACTTATCGCCGGTACCGTCGCTGAGAGTCAATCAGGGGCGCCCAGAATAAACATCCTGGAATCCCTCCACCCATTTCTGGACGCCGAAAGAGCTGAGGTACATGTGCCACTTTCTGCACCCCCCCCCCCGCGCGCAGTAAAGTTCCGAAGAGCCTATATAGGCATCCCCGTTTGGCGCTTAAACGCTGGGACTTTAAGTAGACAGCAAAAGGCAGCGAGTCGCCGTTCACTTCAACCCTTTACGTGAAAACAAAAATTTCCCCGCCCCGAAACGAAGAGGACGGGAACTGGGGTTGTTGCATGCAATTTTCCATGGAAATTATTTCCCGACTATCTCTCGTATTCTGGGTTCTGGCGACAGCCGGGTATTCCACCCCTGCCATGTTTTTCTGGCTTCCCATACAGGGAAGGCAACTTTTCACTGAAGCCGCCAGAACAAGGTTCTAGCACAGCAGCTCAATTTGGCTAGCTGCTCTCCCCCCCCCCCGGCCCGACCAGTTTAATCCTAATCGATTGAGTTCTGGAAGGTTCTAGCTTAGGGTGGACTTTGGGCCCGAAGAATATCATAAAGCTGGGCAAGGAATTTTGTCTCATACGACAATGTACTTACTTGTTCATAGGTAGAGAAGAGAGGGAGGCGGGAAGAAAGGACAACGCCTGTAAAACTAGGTTTTTTTTAGGTTTTTTTTTTTTTTTTTTTGTTAACATACTCTCTGGCTAAAGTGCCTTTCAAATCCCTTAGCATCTCTGCAATGGGAAAGACCCCTTTTCTCCCCTTGAAGGAAGAACTACTCTAATAAAGCAGGCAAACTAAATCTGTGATAAAGTGGGGAAAGCCCGTATCTTTGGATTGCTGCGATCCCCAACAGCGGGGCAGCCGAACAAAGCAATCCGCTCCAAGCGACCCCCACCCCCCAGTAGTTAGAAAAGCAGTAAACATCTTTCTGTTGGATCAAACCCACCTTTGGTCTCCTGTTTATTAGCCTTCCTCATGACTCTGTGCGGTTTTACAGAAGAAGTGAGGAAAGGCGTGGCAGCCAGAGGCTGGCAACATACACAACCACATACAGAAATCCACCATTATTAGTCCTGGGTGCTTATTTTAACTTTCTACAAATTGCTCTTAATCCACCCTTGAAGCCAAGAAGCAAAACTAATACCGTACTGGTAGTTTATGTTAATTTATTGCATCATTACTGCACTTTTATCCCTGTGCTTTTATACTCTCTATATAATATCCTATGTATGTACTGTACATTCAGTGACTTTTAAATTTTTATGACCCTGTTTTCTGGCCTGATGGCTGTAATAAAGTTATTGGATTGGATCAAGGTCTTTGCTTCCCCTCCTGTTTAAATCCAGCTCAGATTTGTTAGTGGACTTGTAAGGCAGAAAGTGTGCATTTATGTGTGTGTGTGTGTCTGTGTGTGGGGGTATTTCAGCTCAGCCGTAGCCCACCTTTTCTGTTGTCCTTCATTATACAGACTTCAGCTATATTCCTCATTTGGAAATAGTCTTGACATAAAGTAAATCTGAGAATGGAAGGTAAGCTCCACTATTTTTGGCAGTCCTCCCCTGCATTTCCTAATCAGGGAATAAGCCGCTCTGAAATCAAGCAAATTTATTCCCAAATCCAAAGGTTGCATCTATTGCGTTCAGAAATAATCCATTATGAAGGGAGCATTTCTTCTGTATTGAATTATATAACCTTCAAAAGTTTTTTGGGGGGTGGGTGGGTGGGGGAGCTGAGAAGTATAGGAAAATAAAACAAAAGAAACAGAAAACCTGCTGCATGTTCTCAGCACCGGGAGAATCAAAATCATGTGCTAGCAAGGAGAGAGATCCACTCTAAGACACTTTCTGCCCGTGTGACAAACCTGTGGCTCTGATTTTGAGGGACCTGATCCAGATGGGCCATGTTTTCTGGAGGGCATCGCAAGCTGCCATTGTGGAATATGGGAGTTCACCCTGCCCTATGAGTTTCAACAAACAAGGGCAGGAGAAAGGGATATTAAAACAAGGATTTGCCAAGCCTGACCTGCCCAACCAGATCGCCCACTTTGAAAAAGCAGCTTTTTGCTCCCAACTCCACCCTTGTGGAATTTTTTTTCTTTTTCCGTCTCCTGGACACTTAGACAAATAGACAAGTGTCGTAACTTAATAGCCTCGGAAAGGCCATTTCCAAAATCAAAAGCTATTTTAAGTTTTAAATCTCTCCCAAGCCTCTAAATCCCCCCCTATCTCTTTTAACCACATATTAAGAGGCAACGACTAGGTTTCAAATTATTGCCTTTATTAAGCCAAGTTGTGTTCAAACAGATGGAGAAGTAGTAGCATTTAAGGATAGAAGAAAACTCTGGCCAGATTATCACTTCAATTGCCTAACTTGCATCATTGATTTTTCTTTAGGGGGAACTTCTTCATTTATTTTCAGTGTTTGGTCTCCAGTGTTGTATTGAATGGGATCGCTTGAAGATAGTACTGAAGTTTTTTAAAATACTAGCCATAGTTTCATAAGAACACAATCCTGCTTATTTTGCAAATCCAAATATTCTTTGACCACCCTCCTTCTCCTTCTCCCTTTCCTCCTTCTCCTTCTCCTCCTTCTCCTCCTTCTCCTCCTTCTCCTCCTCCTCCTCCTCCTCCTCCTCCTCCTCCTCCTCCTCCTCCGTATCCGGTTCACTTTCTTCTTCCTTGTATTTTCCCGTTTTTTTTTAAAGTTCAGAGCTTGTACTTCCTCAGAGCGAAGTCTCCAGGATACCACTGTGATTTAGGTTGTAGATCAGACAGAATGAAAAGCAGGATGCTGCTTCATTTTGGCTTCTTCTGCCCCTAAGGGGTCGTTGGGTCTGCTAACTGTGTGCCAAAATAGTAACACTTGCAGAAAGAGATGCAGTGCAATCTATGGCTTGTCCATTTGAAGTCGTCCCATTGAGTTAAATCAAAGGGAACTCCATGAGAATTAATGCCAATAGACTGAGGTCAGGAGGATTGAGTTATCAGACCCAGGCAGAGCAGTCAAAATTCTTCAGCAAAAGATTTTACTCCCTTCACTTAAACGTGACAATGAATTGACTTAGTGACTTCTGTTGAATTCAGCGGCAGACTAAAAACGCTTAATTTAAATATTGTTGGAGTGGTTTAAATGCAAAATCTTCAGAGTCTACACTGGAAACACATTTTTAACAACACAGTATTTTATATTGTGGTATTGAATAAAATAAAATAATATTTTTTTACTGTATTTGA